CTCATATGATTGTGGGAAAATTCTACTACCAGTCCTTCATCACCTTACACGAAATAGGGTGAATACATATAATTAGACTGAATTACTGGTAGTCTCTAAACCCTACTCTTATATTAATGAGACATGCCATGATTCGATTGGCTACTTCATGTTTACTCCACTTACAAATATCCCTTCCACCAACCTTATCAAACAAGGCAAAAGGTCTGCCAACATTGAAGCGTGGAAACGCGCCGTCTTAAATCGCGCCATCGCGAGACAAAGAATGCTCGTACTAGAAGCAAATTGGTGCTTTGAAGAAATGGGCAATGAAAGAAGTAGAGGATGTCACGACGGTGCAATGTTTTAGCAAAGCCTGTCCGATGGTCTCGCCTGAAGGATCCGCTCTCCTCCGATGCCAGACCTGTCCGAGACGCCTTTCGGTCTGTCCTAGCGTTGGTCAAGTGACTCGCCCCTCGGACTGACAGCCCGGCCTGGGGCGCCAGCATGTCGGACGAAGCCAGACAACCAAACAGCCGAACAACCGATTAAAGAATGAGGAGGATCAGTCCGTCTGAGATGGCACTCGCCGGGTCAGTCGGGAATCGTGAGATTTCTCCCAGCGGTGCCATATCCTTAGAAAGTTGGCCAATCCGTGGGGGGCACAGGAGCCGAGCCTCGGAGGGTGGGCAACAAGTTTTATGTCCCCTCGGCCCGGCTCGACGAGTCTGGAGGAGGTAGAGTCCAGAGTGAGTGCCTCCTCCCCGCCACGTCCTCAGACATGCAGCAGAATCGGCCACTTTTGCAGTAATTTGTAGAGAGAAGAAATGCATTAAAGCATCACCGGCCCGGAGTCCGCCGCTTCGCTTTACCTCGCAACGGAGAGGATATCCGCTTGACACCGTCGCGACAGTCCCGATGTGCTTTTTCCTGCAAGTGTTCGTGTGTAGTTAACCCCTCAAAAGGGAATATGTCCCTCCCTGCTTCGTTCCACGGGGACTGCAGGCATCGCTTCGCGTCCTTCTACAGAGCGACCCCTCACCCTCTTTTGCGATGTGGCCATTGTGCTGTTGCCGTCTGCCTCGCTAACAAGGCAGCTGTAGACAGACCAATCAAAGACCCTCGTCCTTGAAACAGCCACGAGGCTGAGAAGTCGGCGTCAGGCCAACTCTGAAGAAGCATCATTCTCGCTGCAGCATGCCACAGACGCTGGCCGATATGCAAAGGCTAGAAGTGCAGCGTCCGAATTGCTGAACTTACTTCCATTTCGAGTGAAAATGTTCGGTGAAGCGATTCCAAAGTCGATTTCTGGTGCTGCTGAAAAGTGAAATAGGTCGACGTTTTATAGAAACCTTTTTAAAGCCGCCATTTTTCATCGCGTCCAAAGCCGACGAAGATCTTGGCCATTTCGGCTCCTTACGAGAGGGCTGATAGAGGAGGCCAAAGGCAGCTGAACGAATTTCACATACCAGCTCCATGCTTGTTAACATGCCTACACGTAAACATGTTGTATTCGGTTCGAGGTTTGGTCCTATTCCGAGGCCAATGAGCGGTCCGTTTGGTGTGAGCGCGTTATGGCTTAGCTCAACAATGACTCATCGCCTCAGGCGCACTGCATTCAGGCTGAGAGTATTTTTTTGAATTTGTCAATTATCGATCCTCGAGTTGAAAGTTTTGATTCGTCCAGACCAGCAGCAAAGCTATCCAGCCAAGTCGTTCTTGACCTCCACTCATTCTTGCGCATCTTGTCTCCAGTGCTGAGTTTCTACACCTGCCGTCAAACTACCAAACCTTCACAGAAATTAAGACTAAAATGGTATGTTTCTAGGTACAGTGTTGGTTTAAATACAAGTAAAACGCGGGTTTCGAAGCCTCTCTTGAGAAAACATCGTTGCGAAGACTTTCATTTTATATGAAAGTACATGATGAAGGGATTCGAAGGTCGATCTCACCAGAGGAGGACGGCTGATTCCCGTTTTAATACAGTCGTTTGTCGTAAATACGACGTTCAAGTTGACGCAGTCCAAGAGACATGGCCGATTTAGCGTATCGACATTAACACACATATCCACTTGAGTTATGAGGATAAATAGTGTAAGGGACAGAGCCAGGAACTAGTTTTAACATGAGACTTTTGCAAGAATGAGTCCCAGTTCTGACGATGTTCGTCACATGACGAACGAAAGCTCAGCCCTTTTTCGTCCGAAACGAGGGAGGATGCTTCGTGGACTACATCAACCTGAGCATCGCATTAAAGCCGAATAATTGCAGTACAACGGGTTAAAACGTACTGAGCTTTCGTCCGTCAAATAATGGACATCATCAGAGCTGGGTTTCATTCTTGTTAAAGTCTCACGTTAACGCTGAAGCAACAACAATATCCGGCTCTATCATACTACTTACATAGACTCAATCGAGCCAAAAACTTGATATT